AGTTGCCAAAGCCCATTCCGAACCAGAAGATGCAGAAGTTGTACCACCGCCAGTTGACCTGTGCGGGCGGGGACGGCTTGAGATCTTCATTGACCCACGAGTGCCCCTGGTGCGCGTTGCCTTCCGTGTGGATGTACGTCAGGAAGGCGTCCTTGGAGTCAAACGCGTGCCGAAGGCGGGAGGCCCACCCGTGCACAGGCGCAACGAGCTTCGTATGCACGCCGTACTTCACGTCGTCTGCCGATGGAACGTGCATCTTGAGGTCGTGTCAGGGCTCCGCTTGGTCCTGGAGGCCGAGGACGGTAGGCGAACGAGGCCGCTGGTGGTCGCGGGGCAGCCGACCGGAGCAGATGCGAAGTCATGGCTTTATACCCGCCGCACCCTAAACAAACGATTGTGCGGACATCCGTGCGTCGTACATGGGTCAGGTACGAGCCACTCCACCAGTTCGCGGTCCTCAGCGGACCGTAGAGTCTTTGACGATAACGGGTTGTTGATAAGTGCTAGTCTGCCGCGGAAGCCGGCGCGATGTATCGGAAGATACACGTCGAACGCTGTGATCAAAATAACCTCCCGAGACGAGCTGCAGAGTCGACGTCGATTCAGTTGCTGTGTCATTTGACGACTCGGTACTTGGTGCTTACCAGCATATATGCGTATGTTTGACCCATTCGGAAGGCGCGCGCTGCTCGTGAGAGGGCTTCTCAGCTAGTTCATGAAAGATGTCGTCTAGACTCTCTGCAGGGTCTAAACGAGATAAGCATTTGCACCGTTAGCGGTCAAAGTATGAGGTGTCCTGCGCGAGTTTATCTTCAAAGTCTAGCGTGTGCAGGGGCTTATCACTGATACTCATTTCCCGGCCATCTACACATGTAGCGACTGACATGCCGGTACCTCTTGCGTACTAATTGAAGAATTTGAAGTTGCTCATTCGTGCCTACAGCAGTATAATCCTTAGCCCGGTAAGTGAAGAGGGCGGTGATTTCCGGTGACGAAGGCCGACAGTCTCCATCGAGCACGACTACATGGGTCCTGTAAGTGCTTCTGTCAAAGCACAGGTCAGAATGCACATCATACACGGCCATCCTCCGCACCGAGGTTCGTAAGGTCGACGTATTACGGATGTCAATCAGGAACCAATTTGAGCGTACACACCTAATAGGTCCCAGCGATTCAGCGATGGGCGGAAACGTGGTGCTCCGTGTCGGCAGCGGGCTGGCTCACTGATGATCCAGACGTCTCCATAAACAGGTCCCGCAAGGGGCCAACGACAAACCCGATCTCGGCACCCCTCTGGTGGCAGACGGCTGGACGCGAAACAGGGATGATGTGACCTGGGTTCGGGACGATCGAATGAAGGCAGCGATCCAGGCATTCCGCGCAGGCACCCGTTCATGAAGCTGCATGCAATATAGCTGCATAGTCAGACCGGGTCATCGTTCCACCAGTGTCCTCCGAGGATTTGAGGGTGATGTACTGCGATTACCAGCAAATGCTGGATGCACATAACCTCGTTCAGGAGTCGGCCTGTCCTACAGGTATGGCTACGCCCCAGGTCGATACAGTCGGCTGGAGTTTGAGTGTTGCTCCGATGGTGGAGGTAAGATATTATGGACAAATTCATTAGCAGAGTCCTCGTACCTGCGCGTTGAGATGCCCTGAAAATGGGTCTGTACATGTATGTCACAGCTGTTTACTGTCTTCTCGTCAGCCCCAAGGACACGTACCATATTTTTTGGACAGTTCAGTATGCGAGCGCACAAAAAAGAGGATAAGCGACGACCGTATGGTGTACACAAGTGAAGTTTTGTACTGACTCGGAGGAAGGTAATGGAATTAGCGCCCGCTACCTCCTATGGCTGAGATTCCCGATTGAATCTCTTGCACCGTGTGGCAATCGCCACAGTCGCGTCCATTGCACTCGTTCACTCCCACCGACCACGCATAGCGCGTTATTCTCTTCGGATTTCCGGACAAAACTACACATATATCTGACGGCTCTCAACATGGCTCCTCGAGTCGGCCCGAAAATCAGAATCAGGCCACCCGGACGAAGGCCACCTGCAGCGTCGAGTTCACGCGAAACACCTGTTGAAGAAGAGGAAGTTACAATCACCGACGCGGAAGAGCCTAACGCAGATGACGAGCAAGCAGACGAAACAGCAACGCCACAGCCAGAAGATGACATAGATGTAGACGTGGATGCCCAGACAGCGGACGAGGACGGCAGCGTCGTCGACCCTGAGGAAGACGAGGATGCTGAGGACGCGGAGACCCCGGCGAAAAGAGGGAGGGGCAGACCGAAAGGGAGCCGGAACAAGGCATCGGGGACGAGCACACCAAGAACAAGAGCGAGGGGACGCGGACGAGGCAGGGGAAAAGGCCGTGGAATTACCATCAGGCTACCGAAACGGACGGGCGAGGAGGTCGAGCAAGGTGAGGAGAGCGCCGCGGCGGAGGCGGAAACGCCTGCTCCTGTGGAGGATGTGCCCGCTGCGGATGCAGAAGAGGGTCCTGCGGGCGGTGGGAAGCCTTTCCGGCGCATAAACGGACAAGTCTACATCATCGACAACGACGAGTATGTCACCGAGGACGACCCGAAGGGCGACGCAAAGATCGACCAGTATGGTAACCTTATTGGTGGTGCGCATGTCTATTGTTTACTCTCTCCAACAAACTGACGTTGCTCCAGACCGCAAGTTCAAAGCGCAGACGTTCCAATTGCCCAACCGACATCCCGACCGAATGTACATGCTTGCAATCGACGCAGCACGCACTTCTGGCTTCCGCGACTCGTTGTACTATTTCCGGCGCAACCCGCTTGCCATGAAGCTGAACGCGACGCAGGCCGAGAAAGAGTATCTCATCGAAGTGGGCAAATTAGGCTCGCACTTGCGCACACGTAGTGTGACGATGATCACCGCACGCAGTGCATACAAACTGCATGGTGCCAAGACGGTAAAAGGTGCGTATGCATTGAGGCTTTTGAGCAAACATACTGACAATGCGCAGACGGGAAGTGGGTATTTGACGACTACTACGAGGAAAAAGCGCTGGAGGAGTGCACCGCCAAAGGTCTCAAGCCCGGTGACCCCGTCGACGAGCCCCAGGACACCGCAGCAGCTGCACCAGAGCTCACTGCAAGCAAAGACCGCACAGGTAGCGGGATCGGATTGTACCGTGCTGGTGGACCAACTACTATCTTCGGTGGCTCTGGCTGGGGGCCTTACAGCGACGGCCCGCTGAACGCGGTGCGGAAGAGCTTGCTCACGCGAGATGGCGTGAACGAAGAAAACTGGATGTATGCCGCGGCGCAGAGGACCGCAGATGCGAGCAGGGAGTGGGCGAACATGCGCGCGGAGGCGATGAAGGTATACGGGGGCACACTGGACGGCAGCTCCAGTCGCGAACAGGAGGCGAGAGATAGGGAGAGGGAGACGGGGAAGAGACGGAAGGTGTGGGACGAAAAGGAGCAGACGCCTCTGGGCGTGTATGAGCCACACTCCGGAACTGTATACTGTGAGTCGGTTTCTGTAGAAGGTCGGCTCTTCCCTAATCTGTGTTGAACAGACCGTTCGGACACGCAGCCGACGCGAGCACGCTGGGAGCCGGTCGACGACGGGCAGCGCGTTCTGGGAGGGACGAAGGCAGGGAGCCAGGCGTGGGGCCTAGCGTGGGTCGATACCATCATGGAGACACCACGGCCAGAGGAGATCGACGAAGAGAACGCAGTATTGCGTGGGCCTTTCTTGCAGTATGCCGAACAACCCCCATAGTCATTACGCGACCACATCTTGTCGTATCGGTAGGAATGTCTTCACGTTGGGCCGCGATTCGATCAGATCATTGTCTCTGTGCTGCGAATTCTTTGTTATGGCACGCGCCCTGATCACTTTGCAGAGCGTAGAAGAGAGGTCTGGGCGGTAAGCGAATAGTGTAAGTCGATCCGTACATGAGGCTGGAGGAACGCGTCTTAGCCATGAGGCGATGGTGTTACGAACGGCTCTGTCAACTGAACGCGACGCAGCCCGCGGATCGCTACTTTTCAGCCAAGGTAACGTTCGGTTGCCTCACCTGAACGCTTCTTTGGGTGAGTCTCCTGGATGAGCTCTAGGATGTTCCGGCGATATGTGTACGACTTCCCCGTCTTCACGCAGGCTTTGTCGCACGCTCGGAATCGCCGCGGACTCCTGGTGCGTGAATTTGCTCGAACGTCTGCATGCCGTGGCTGACATGGACACCTCACACACTCAGGCTCATGAGCCGCAAGCATCACGCTGCCGGGCACTTCCGAGTATGATGGTGAACTCCCTGATGGGCCGCGAACCTTCCGGGGCTTGCGAATCCCGGGGAGCGATATCTTGCTCATCCCACAGTGCTTCGCTTTCCAAGAATACATCCCGGAACGCCACTTTGAAGTATCGGAACACTTTCGAGTGGTCCTTCAGGGACCATGATTTCTATCTTCTGTGCATGGTCCGTCATGACTTAGTTGCGCCTTGCGGATACAACGAGACGAGACAGGTGACACTGCGCAAGAACACCGTTTCCTGAACCTTACAGTCATGCTACGGAACGTGTTCTCACTTGTTCTAGGATCGATCAGCGTGCAAGAAAAGTAAGTCGGCCATAAGTACGGAGGAAGACCCGCAGGAAAGCAAGCTCCCCCGGGCCTTTCGATCGCGGTTGCAACCCCCAACTCATCGCTCTCGCTCTTCATTCCCAGTTACATACGCCTCTTCATATGTCAAGGATGAGCACAATGGTCAATGTTTATCTCAGATGCATGCTGCGTTCCTTCTCTAACTTTGCCGTCTCGTCATTCCACTTTGATAGTCAAGCTCCAGCTCGGACGCCAGTGGCCCGTCGTCTACTGCTGCGTCCTCCGTCGACGGCGATTTGGTGCGTATGCTCAATGTGTTCCGAACACGGACTAACCCCACTCATACCTCTAGGAGGAGAACCTACTCCTCGTGCATCAAGCACTGGACGATAGAGACTCCAAAGACCATGAGATTCAGACAGCCCCCATCTTCACCAGGGAGGCCTATGCGCAAGGCGGTGGGCCCGACTGCTTCCCGCAGCGGGGTCTCCTCGGCTCTGTCGTCCGAGTCTAGTACGTCTTTCACTATATCGCTCGCTGAGTGCTACATCTCTAATATGTGAACACGCGAAGCGACGGATCAGGCCCATGCAAGAAGGACATCGCGGATGATAAACGCATTTATCTGAACACGGTGCGTCGCGTGCTGATGAAAGTCTTGTCTCTCTGACGCGTTCTCCCAGAATGCTCCCTTCTCGGCCTTGGTTTGCGGCGTGCAAGGGTCTGGCAAATCGCACACTACTTCGGTGATGCTTGAAAATATGCTCGTCCCTGATCATTCAGCCATTGGTCAACTGAGGAAGCCGTTGGCCGGCCTCGTCCTCCACTTCGGTGAGGGCGGTGCCTACTCCCAGCCTTGCGAAGCCGCATGGGTTGGTGTTACTGATAACAAAGCGGTCAAGCCGCCTCCGGTGGTCGTCTACGTATCCAAGTCATCGTTGAATACAATGAAGCAGGTGTATGCACGCCTGGGTCAGTCGGTAACAGTGAAGGCGTTGAAGTTCAGCGAGGAAGAACTCGACGCGCAAGCTTTCCTCTCAATGATGGCAATCGGTGCGTCGGACAGTGTTCCCCTATATATGCAGACGATACTGGTGAGCATCCGTACCGGCAGTTCGAATGGCAAGCGCCCGCTTACTTCTCACAACGATGCCTAGTCCATTCTACGCGACCTCGGTGAGAGGTACACCTATCAAGCATTCAAGACGGCGCTCGAACTGAAGAAGACGAAGTTCAACCCCGCCCAGCTCTCGGGCCTCGAGCAACGCACGGCATTACTTGAATCGTTCTTGGACAAGAAAGCACCAGGAAAGTTCCACGTAGCGCCTGCGCGGTTTGCGGCCGGGCAGATCACCATCATCGACCTGTCCGATCCCTTCATCGACCCGGCGTCGGCATGTGGCCTTTTTGATATCATTGTCAGGCTGTTCGTGCGCTCGCAGGTCAATACCGGGAAGGTCCTCGTCGTCGACGAGGCTCACAAGGTAAGCCAAACAGTGATAGTAGAGCCGAACTGACCTGACTGTGTGTAGTACCTGGTAGCGAACAAGACCTCGTCCGGACTTACGAAGGGGCTGCTGTCTCTCATTCGCCAGCAGCGCCACCAAGCGATGCGCGTGATCATCAGTACGCAGGGTATGTAGGAACCCATCTAACTATGCACTATTCCTCAGATGCTGACTGTGATGGGGATCAGAGCCTACCGTTGTGCCTCCCGTGTTGCTCGAACTCTGCAGTGTAGCGATCCTCCATCGCTTCTCCTCCCCGGCTTGGTGGGAACACGTCGCCAAGCACGTCTCCGCTGACATCGACTCGAAGGCGGCGTTCGATAACATTGTCAACCTGCAGGTAATGTGACCTATCGCACCGTCTGCCTGAAATCTCATTTCGTTCCGACTTGCAGACTGGCCAGGCCGTCCTGTTAGCTCCGTCGGGACTGGGGACTACTCGGGGCTCGTCTGATAAACCATCCGACGATGCACAACGTGTCCTGGAGAAATTCGGCCGCAAGTGCGTCCTGATCAAGACGAGACTGCGCGTCACCAAAGACGGAGGCGCGTCGCTGTTGGTGGTCCCGTCGTGAGGTGTACGAGTCGACTGCTCATCGCCGCGTGATGTGAGTTGTTGCATTGTGGACACTGTCGATCTAAGAAGTAGTATATACTCGCGAAAGGATTTCCGTCGATGATTGTTTTTACGTGTCTAATATGATTTCTTGGGATGCTGGATCGACGTGCGTGCGACTGCGCAGCACAATCTCAAAAGGATGCAAACATACCTCCGCCTCGGAGTCGGTGTGGACTGTCATTGCAAGGCTGTACATACACGACGCAGAATCTTGCACTCGCTTGGTGCAAGACAGTGTACAGTACTGCAGTAACACAGGTGGTTCGAGCGCGTATGGACGCGCGGCACTGGAAATCGTATACGCCTCCTGTGACTCCATTGCTGCGAGAACGGCCGTCGCGCACGCCCTCACCTTGACGAGCAGGACGACTCACAAGACCAAACGTCGTCACATCCAAACCACTCGCACTTATGTGGCAACGCACACGAAGAACAATTGTTACAGCATGATGATCATTGCACGGTGGCTTTTCCTACCGCAGCCCGGTGTTGATAACGATACATAGTCGGGACACTGCTACCCTTGGGACCCGAGGGCGGCACTCGCGCGAGGCCACATCTTTTGGCATACAGCATTTCTCCATCTCCGTCGTCGTGTGCATGGTAGGTGCGTGCATGGTGGCCGTCACTTGGAGTTTTTGTCATGGTATCCCTACGGTGCAACGCAAGCAGCCGAGTAGATTACTCTGTGGTGGGCGTGTCGCATTAGACACCAGTCACAGACAGGGAAACAGGAAAACGCACTGGAACGAGCCCGCATTTTTCTGCGTTTGCGACGGAGACGACGCGACCTCTTCTTCTTCCACTTGTCTCTCATTCTGTAGGTCACACAGTCAGCAACGACGAGAACGTGCCGAGGCAACGCGGCGGCCGCGTACTCACTCGTCGAGTAATGGGAAGTGCTAACGAGCCCAGACCGCCGAGTGCGGGGTTATGATTCTGTGGCGGGTGGTACTGTACAGTTCTGCTTACCTCACCCTCCCACACTCAAACAGACAAAGCGCTCCCTTTCGCGCGCTAGTTGTTCTTCGTCCCTTCGTGTCGCATTCATCGCTGGCAACGATGAGCAAGCGTCCGCGCGTCCCTGCAGCCCTGCACGCCGAGATCTCTGAATATTCTGCACTTTTACGCGCCCTCAGGAACCGCGACACGCTCGACCTCTCCAGCCAGCTCATCCGAGCCCACTCGTCTGCGCCTGCTACCGACGATGATCTATTCGAGGACGACGACATCAGTCTGGACGACGAAGAACCCAAGTTATCCTTGACGGAGTACACGTCGCAAGTCTCTGTCGTTGCAGAGTCCTCTGTCGCGGAGCAACTCCAGTCTCAGCGGAAGCGCAAGCGGTACTCAAACAAGCGCGAGGCGAAGAAACCGCGGGACACCTGGACGCGGTGGCCCCTTATGGCCGGTGACGTGCACGTCCCCGAATGGACGCTTGAAGACGAGGTCAAGGCCCTTACTGTGCAGCACCTCAAGAGATCTCTCACTGGGCCCGACACCACTCCCCACGATGCTGAACTGCTGAAAGATCTGGATGACGACTTTGCCAACACACTACTCCCGCAGGCGAGCCTCGATGCCCTTGCGGACGAAGCCGCCACCCACCTCGCGCGTATTCTTGCTTTTGTCGCCGCCCACAAGCCGCCCGCCGCGGAGAGCATGCAGAACCGTTTCGCCCCGTTCGGCTGGGAGATGGTCATGGCCGTCATGTCTTCTAGTGGTCTTGTCGACGCCAAGTTCGTCTCCTCTGCTGTGCTGCGGTAAGCTCGCGTAAACATGTGCTTGTTAGTGTCATGCAGAATGTCCAGCGTCGTATGGAATCTATATATGGCTCTTCGAAGTCACCTGGTACGTCGATATTGTGCATATTTATGTTGCCTAAGCTGACATTTGTCGCAGCCGTTCACCGTGTCCAGTATCGTGCCTCGGCGAAGCTGCAGATGCGAGACGCTGTGGAGGCTTATGATCTGAGCTTTCTGGGGCTAGCATACAAGCCTCCTCCCCCGCCGAAACGTAAGCGTCGTTCATTCTCTGCATGTACCGCTCAGCGTCTGACGGGTTGATAGGCAAACGAGGTCCGTATAAGAAAAGGAAGATCAAGTCTGCAGAGACCATTGAGTCTTCGGTGGAGCCTGAGGACACCCAGTCTCGGGTAGTCGAACAAGCCACTGGCACCTAACGCCCACGCGGGCCATGTTAATAGCGTTCTCCGTGTACATTTGTTGTGTACATAACCCCGAGGTGGATCGTCCTCGCAACAAGGGGCACGTCCGGCTTCCTGCACCCGGTGAGTACTTCTTCCACCTCTCGGATGCCTGCCGTCCTCGTTATGATGTTTGAGGCATTTGGCTTTAGCAAGGGCTACCTTGCGTTGCAGAAAACTATCTCAGCTACCTTCGGGCCGTCTGCTTTGGCAGGCGCGCCCGCTATCTCTGAACCCCTTTGTTTTCGTTGCAAAGCTTTGAGTTTGTGCTGACTTCAGTTTCTTTCAGACCTTGCTTATGGTGACAGGCGACCGCGTCCAGCTCCCGGTTTGCTGTCGGCGAGCGCCGGGGGGTGGGAAGGACGAGCAGGGCAGGTTCAGACGTGTCTTCGTCGCTGTACTCAGTGCGGTTGTAGTCCTGTATTGGGTAGCTTTCGGCGTGTTTTCGTCTCAGTAATACATGTTACATCTTCCCAACCAACATTGACGTTGACAAGCTGTGTTTTAGCTGTGTTTTAGCTCTTGTCGCGTGAGGAATATCAATGTCTGTCAGATATTCATACCGGTCACGTCCGGGCGTGCGCCACGAAGAAACCCTTCAGAACCGAGTAAGTTCGTGTATATTGTATACGTAGCCGCCTATACATAATGGTTGTCGCGAGTGGTTTGGTGCCCTGCACCACCCGTGGAGAACGAGACGAGCGACAGATAGTATACGTAGCATCTTCAATGCAGGAAATCGTCCAAAATGTAGGTATGTAACCAAGTCCGGTCGTATGATAGCAACGGAGAGTACAGATCCAGAAGCCGGTCGCACTCCTCTCGTGCCTCCTCCTCCGCCGCCTTCTTAGCCTTCTTCCGTCCCCTTTCCTTCGCGTCTGCTTCTCTGTCCAATCTGTCCTCCTCCGCCCTACGCTGCGCCTTCAACTTCTCGATCTTCTTCTCTCGTTCCATGTAATATTCAACCCGCTCAGGCGTCACCTCCACGCCCTTGACTACCGAGCGAAAACCCTTGAGGTGATCCCAGAGGTGATCGAAAACACGAACTGCGTCTTGGAGCTTATCGCCATGTTTCCCATCTGAGAAGAGTGGCTCATTCTCGACACCGTCGTCAGCGTACTCATCGAAAGGATCAGGCCAGTGTGGGTTTGTAGCTGACTGGAGCGAGCGCTCTATGTTTAGCCAGCGAGAAAGCCGCCTGGCAAAGGACAGGACTATTCCGAGCGTGGAGTCTTTGCCCTGGCTCGTTTTGTAGTCCGGGAGTTCATGGATCGCCTGACGCGCAAGGAAGGTAACCTTCTTGAGTCTGCATAGGTCGTAGTCGTTCGTCAGCCAGGCTTGAACTGGGGAAGCCTCGTCTTCAACTCCTTCGTCGTTGAAGGCCCAAGCGTAGTACACCGTGACCCACACGAAGGCCTCCAGATCGTGGCGATAGAGGCGCTCGAGATCACCTTTCCAGTAGGCGTCGTCCAATAGGTCAAGCGCCATGAACGGGATGGTGCCCGTCCTCTCTGACCCTTGAGGTTGGCTTGGCTGGCCAACTATCACCACACGAGCAAGGTCGAGGTCGCGCACCCTGACGCGCAGCGAAAATGGGCAAACGCCAAGGTTCCAAAAGCTCAGGTCGGTGTGTTCGATTCTGTGCTTGCCATTACCGATCCACAGGAGTTTGTGACCTGTCAAGACGTTGAGGACATCGCACAAATCGATCACGCGGAGACACTTACATTTAATGCAATCGATTATGCCCCGCACGAACTCGAAGCCGGTCAGATACGTCAATGGCTTGAGCTTCACCTCGAAGATGCACCGCAGAATGCGCTCCCCGTGGTACTCAGCGTCGACGAGCGACTGTGTGGGGTCGCTGAATAGACGGAGATGGCGTCGGATGTTGTCTGTAGACAGGTGCGCGAAGTCCTTGAATGCGACCACGTCTGTCAGCGATCCCAGCGCCTCTTTGTCCATGTCCTCGACAATCTCGCGAGCTATCCAGATCGCCTTGGCCTCATTGCAGCGTATCGTCTCGGGATATGACCATTTCGCGACGTAAGACATTGTAGGCATGCCCGGGTCCTGCGCCTCAAGCACCATTGTTCGACGCCCTCTCAGAATAGGCGAGGGCTTGTGCAGAATACGCTCTGGATCCACCACCATGGTCTTGGGCAAATCATCCTTGCCCGTTCCAACGACTTCGAAGGTCTCGACCGGCTGACGTGCCGGGTCTCTTGTGCCACCAGCCGGTCCCGGGATCTCAGCTCGCGGTGGAGATAGACACCGGATCACGTCGAGTCTCGCCTCAGAGTTCGTCCCCTCCGGAAACCCCCACTGCGGGAGCTTGAAGCGCTGGAGCAACATCAAGATGAGCACGAAGTCTGCGGTGTGTGCGAGTATATTGAAGCCCTGCGCTTGGACCGCCCCCGCGCTGTCGAAATACCATAACCACGTCCAATCATCTGTATGTGTTGTGGTCAGCCCGGACAAGACAGCGCCGAACAAACACAAACCTTGGGTAAGCATGCCCAGTGCGTGATTCCTGATTAGCCCCTCTACAGCAAGCATTTCGGAGGCGTAGATGGCCATCTGCACCATCGGGGCCGGGCGGCTTGGATGGTTCTCTTTCGCGTGCTTGTTGTCCCTGCCAACCGTGACGTCTTTGGTCAGCCCCGTGAGTTTGGTGTCCGTCTTCCGCCGTTTCGAACTACTCGCATCAGCTGGCTGCGAAGACTTGCGCTTCGAACCGGTCGATACCTTCGCGTCTGCAGAACACAGACGGTCAGAGTCGCATAAACGTCGAGTTCAAAAACACCATACCATTCGCAGACGGAACGGGCTTCGGTGTGACCAGCGCCGGAACCTCGAGCGTCATGCCATTGACGGATTTGGCCGGATCCGCGTATGGGATGGCTTGACCCTGAGACGGGTTATAAACTCGAATGTCCCTCATCTGTTCCGTGTCGAGCGTGGTCTTCTTCAGCTCGTCCACCATCAGCACTTGACTCCAATCTAGTCTAAGTGGAAGCTTCTTGCTGAACGCGCCCACGGCCCATTGTCGCGCGATGTCCCAGCTTGTCGCTCGTTTGCCACCCCGAGATATGCCACGCCAGCTGATGTACACTAGGTCTGGCTTGCGATGCGTGATCTGTTCGTCATGGTTGCCGAGGATTACGTTCGGATCGTTGCAGACACATATGATGTCCAGGTCCGACGGTTGGCCTAACTCCCGCAGCCCTGTGCGACATTGCGCGAGAATCTCGTTCGTCAGCGCGATGTACGGTATGTACATCGCGCTTTCACAATCGCCAAAGCTCAGCTTATTTTTGCTGCGATATGTATTAGATCACATGTATACATACGACTTCTACTCGTTACTCACAGCTCGTCCAACCGTTCGAGTATTTCACGACTCGTACTTATCTCCTCGGCCTCCTTCATACATCTTGCAAGCTTTCCGTCGAGGTCCTGCTCGCCAGGCAAGATCGATTTCAGTAAGAACGTCTGCATGCTCTTCAGGGAGCACTGTTGGTGCGATTTGAGGTCATGTTCGATGCCGGGGGCCACGTCTTGCAACCTGGAATGCAGCGTTCACCAAGTCAGTCCGGGCATATGTGCTGCGCGACTTGTGCCCTACCTCAACCCCGTAGTGCTTGCGCCTTGAGACGAAGCGAAGCTCGCAGACGCCCTGTTGTTGAACGGCGCCGGCCCATGGAAAGTTATTGGATGAGCATTCCTGGGAGTTGCGGTCGGCGACATTGATGAGCCCGCTTTCGCATTCGTGAAGTTTGGCATGGTTATCTGGGTACAAGGTATGTACAAAATCCAGCCACGCACCGAGCTGTAAGCCACCGTGGCGGAGTAGCCACAGTCAAGCCACAGTAGCGACAATCATGGCTATATCGGGACACGATCTCGGCCAACTTAGATTATCATCATATAGACCATGACGGACCACCACATCCACGGATCAGTACTCCTCAACTCACCATGCGGTATAGATCAATGCTTGCTGGTAGTAGTAGGTCTGATATGTACGTTCTCGCTGCTGCGTTCAGACGACCTCTTCTCGCCGTCTCGACAGTTTAAGCGCGCGCAAGTTGGCCGTGGCGCCTGCCGTTCGACATTCGTCAGATTACCAGACCGGCGTGTCGCTCAGGAGTCTGCAACGCTTCTGCAGAGACCTACGTACATAGGTCAATCTCAAGAACCGATCGACAACAGTGAAAGCGACTCACTCAGAACCTTGACCGCGACTAGGGACTTATAGTAGGCGCTCGATATCCTTCCTGCATGCCTGCTGATTGAGATCTCACTCGCCCCGGTGAACACAATGCATATGAGTCTTTCCGAGAAGGCCTAAGTGTATTAAAGTGCCCAGAGACCTCCCGGATTGAATGTGTCTTGATCTCGACGCCGGCCCAGAACTCTGGCCAGTGGCGTCAGCGAAGAACCTGACTCGGAGGCGGTACGAGTCTCGTACCAGTTGAAGGAGCGGAGGCAAGAAGTGGATCGATGGCCAAGCGGAGATTTACATACATATGCAGCCTCGTAACGGCGCAGAGCGTTGAGCGCTTTAGTAGTGTCGGACGCACACCTGCGACCTCCTCGACCGGCTGGAGACGAAACGACCGTAAGGCATGCGCTCGCTGGAAGCCAGGGATGCGACGCTGAATGCTGGCATGGAGGGCTCGCGCAGCCCTCCGTTTGCAACTGGAGCACGAGAATATCAATTCGAGACTCACAATTGATATGTATCGAATGCCAACGCGCGTCGGATGCAGAACAAACCCATGTCAAGGTGTGTCTACCGCGCTCCAGTGCCAGTGCGGTGGACAGCGAGCCGAGGTGGCCATCCACGCCAGAACCTGGATCAAGAGCAGCTGGCCCGTGCACGACGCGACTGATACATTGCCAACAAAGCGGACCATGGCGAGCGACGAGCGTACCTATTTGACGAGCGTCAGATGGCAGGAGGCGAGGGAGATCAGAGCGCTCCGCATCACTGACTGCAAGGTTCACGCGCACGGTCGTCCCGAACCACCATGCACCATCCCCGCCACAGCCCAGAACGGCGGGCAATAACGAGCGGTACTCTGCAGTGATCAAAGCTTCAGTCATCAAGGACATTATGTCTGATCTTCAGGTGCAAGAGGCTACCGGCAGCCACAGTCCGAAGACGAAGCCATCGCCCAAGGCATCGATATCCTCTATACCCGTCCCGTTCACGTACAATCCCAGCGATGATGGCACGGACGAGAACCTCCTCATCCTACTACACGGGTTAGGTATGCCAAAAGCCGAGTCTGCGAGGCATCGTACGCACGTAAGAGCTGATGGGACGGACAGGCGACACGCATGTGCCGTTTGGCAAGCTGGGCCGCCAGCTGAAGCTCCCGCAGACAGCCACGCTCGCGCTGCGCGCCCCCGAACAGTGAGTCCTCCCTCCCTCGTACACGCTGTTGTAGTTTCTCGTAACGGCTAGCCCCGTCTAGGGTTCCCTTCCTGTACGAGCAGGCCTTCCAATGGTACGCATCCTTCGACCCGCTCGGCGAGCTCCTCGAGCGGCCGAACCCCACGCCCGCACTCGAGCTCCTCGATCGCGTCCTCGCGCACCTCACCCAAGACTGCGCCTGGCCGGGCGGGCGGATCCACTTCTTCGGGTTCGCCCAGGGCGGGGGCGTCGCTGCCGAGTTTGTGCTCCGGTGGTGGCGCGCAGAGCTAGAGAAGCAGCGCGGGGATGCAGAATACGCGGTGCGCCCACTTGGGACGGTCGTGGGCGTGAGTGGTCCGCTGCTGTCGTACCCGACGCTGTCGACGCTCTGCCCGACGCCCGTGTTGTTGTTCCATCGCCCGCGGCCCGCGGAGAGCGCGCTGAAGGCGGGGGACGTCTCGGCGTTCAGGAAAGGGTTCAGGCACTTTCTAGCGGTGAAGATGGGCTCGCGAGACGGTATGCCCGCGTCCAAGGAGGATTGGGAGCCGATTATGCGATTTTGGAGTGAACGGCTCAGCAAACGCCCGATGGAAGGATTGTACAAGGTAATGAGCGGCATGACTGCGCCGTAATGAAGCCTTGAACGAAGTAACGCATTTGTATGTACGAACAGTAGCCACAGCGAGTCGCCCGCGGTCCCGCGATCATGAGGACGTTGAGCGTCTCATGAGCATCCATGAAGAGCTGGAGGCCGAAGTTTCAGAGGGCCGTGGTCGAAGGAGCTACCAAGCTGATGTAGACTCTGCACGACTTAACTCTGCTTACCACCATAACGTTTCATATGAATGCTTCGACTTCACCCCGCCCACATCAAGTTCGGCCGCCTATGGTTGTCGCAAGTGGTTCGAGGGCCCTGCACCGCCCGCGAAGAATGAGACGAGCGACAAGTTGTATACGTAGCACCTTCAAATTCAATGCAGGAAACTGACAATATGTATCCAAGCCCAGTCGTACGATGGCATTGAAGAATATTTATGGTTGACTACGCTGCAGAAGTTACCTTGCGCTTCAGCTTCAGAAGCCGGTCGCGCTCCTCGCGTGCCTCCTGCTCCGCCTCCCTCCTAGCCATCTTCCGTTCCCTTTCCTTCGCATCCGCTGCTCTGTTCCTTTCGGCCTCCTCCCACTTGCGCCGTGCCTTCAACTTCTTCAACTCCTTAAGTAAGCTTCTTCTCTCGCGACTTAAAGTATTCGACCCCCTCAGGCGTCATTTTCACATCCTTGCTTGCCTTGCGAATATACTCGAATTCATTCCAGAAGCTATCGAAGTCACGCTTTGCTTCTTGAAGAGGTTCCTCGTCATGATTTCCTTCCGGTAAAAGTCGTTTCTTTCTCTTCTTTCCGCGAGCTTGCCGTTTGCTCTCGGTGAATGGATTGCGAGGATCGCCGCTCGCCTTTGTCTGCTGCCGCAGGCGCTCGGCCACTAGCCAGTCCCTCAGCTGCCTGGCAAAGAACGGGACGTATTCGAGGCCGTCGTCTCTGTCGTCTCCATCATCTCCGCTCTCGTGAGTCCTATTGTCTGGGCGCTGTTTCGCGCGGATCATGAGGAAGTCGCCTTTCGCTCGTCTACATTGTTCGTAGTCGGCCGTCAGCCAGGCGTGAACTGGGGAGTCCATGTCTTCACGTCCCTCGTCGTCAAAGGCCCAAGCGAAGTACAACACGACCCACACGAATGACTCCAAATCGTGGCGATAGATTCGCTTGAGATTGCCATTCCAATAGGCGTCCCTCAAGAGGTCAAGCGCCATGAAGGGAATGGTACCCGTCCTCTCCGACGCTTGAGGTTTGCTTGGCTGGTCGACTACCACCACGCGAGCACGGTCGAAGTCGCGCACCCTGATGCGCAGCGAACGTAGGTCAACGGCCAAGTTCCAAAAGCTGATGTCGGTGTGTTCGATTCTGTGCTTGCCGTTACCGATCCGCAGGAGTTTGTGGCCTATCAAGACGTTAAGTACATCGCGCAAGCGCGAAGACGTCACGCGGCAGCACTTCATTCTGGCACGCAACATTCAGAATCACCAAGTCAGTCCGGGCGTATGTGCTGCGCGACTTGTACCATACCTCATCCTCGTATTGCTTGCACCTTCAAGTTGAAACGAAGCGGAACTCGCAGACTCCCTGTTGTTGGACGGCGTCGGATGGAAGGGTTTTGGGTGAGCATTCCTAGGAGTCGCGGGCGGCGGCATTGATGGGCCTGCTTTCGCATTCGTGAAGCTGGACATGGTTGTCTAAGCACAAAGTACAAAGTCCAGCCACGCACCGAGCGGTCACAACCTGAGCGCGTAGCCACAAGCACGGCTATATCGGGACACGATCTCGGCCAATTTAGACTATATTAAAAGACGCTTGTCGGCTTCTTAGGTCTGCTGTATACGGTGCACCGAGCCAATGACTATATATGTAGACACAATCGCTTCGAACTTAGTAGTATAGTATATGTGTATAAGTAGTTCGAGTCTACATAGGGCTTCCAGCTTCACCCTCAAATGACCATAAACGGGATTACCACCAGGTCTGCTACGGAGACTAATATCATAGACCATGATGATGATGGACCACCACATCCACGGCCGCCGGTGAGTACCCCCCAGGTCACCATGCGGTATAGATCAATTCTTGCTGGTAGTACTGATAAGTACGTTCTCGCAGTTGCGTCCGAATGACCGTTCGTCTCGCCGTCTGCAGTTCAAGCGCGCAAGTTCGTCAGGCTGATGCGGCGCGCACCGTTCGACGTTTTGTCAGACTGGTCCCGGTCCGACCATCGCGACCCTCAGGAATTTGCACCGCTTTTGCAAAGTCAGTCTCAAGAACCGATCGACAACAGTGAAAGCGACTCGCTCACTTTCACTCAGAGCTTTGACCTCGATATCCTCCTGCAAGCGCCATGCGTGGGCTGAGATCTCACTCACGTCGGTGGACACATCGCATGTGAGTCTGTCCGAGTCTGGATACCCATCAGAACCGAGTAATTTCGTACATATGTATATAACCGCCTATGCTTGTCGCAAGTACTAGTGGTTCGGGGCCTGCCCGTGGAGAACGAGACGAGCGACAGATAGTATACGTAGCACCTTCAATGCAGGAAACTGTCCATAGGTATGTATCCAAGTCCGGTCGTATGATAGCAATGGAGAGTACAGATCAATGGTTACAATACAGAAATTACCTTGCGCCTCAGCTGCATATTCCGGTCGCGCTCCTTGCGTGCCTCCTGCTCCGCCTCCCTCTTAGCCTTCTTCCGTTCCCTTTCCTCCGCGTTCGCTTCTCTGTCCAATTTGGCCTCCTCCGCCTCGCGCTGTGTATTCAACGCCGTGATCTTCTTCTCTCGCTCCATATAATAGTTAACCCGCTCGGGCGTTGGCTCCACATCCTTGACTGCGCTGTGAATGGCCTCGATTTCGGCCCAGAAGATTTCGAAGTCATGCTTTGCTTCCTCAAGTTCATCGCCACGACTTCGGGAAAGGTGGTTCTTCTTGGCGAATCGATCTAGAACGTCGACCTTTGGGTTTGCAGCCTTCCGGCGCTGTGCCTCCTCTCCCACTAGCCACTGAGAAATCATCCTGGCAAAGGACAGGGCGTATCCCAGCGGGGTGTCTTCGCTCGTCATCCAATCTGGGAGCTCTCCCGCCCGGGTCATGAGGAAGTTGCCTTTCGCTAGTCTGCATTGGTCGTAGTCGCCCGTCAGCCAGGCTTGGACCGGGGAGGTCAGGTCTTCAAGTCCCTCGTCGTCGAAAGCCCAAGCGAAGTACATCGCGACCCACACGAATGCCTCTAGATCGTGGCGATAGAGTCGCTCGCGCTGACCATTCCAATAGGCCTCCGTCAAGAGGTCAAGCGCCATGAAGGGAACGGTGCCCGTCCTCTCCGAACCTTGAGGTTTGCTTGGCTGGCCGGCTACCACCACACGAGCAAGGTCGAAGTCGCGCAGCCTGATGCATAGCGAAAACGGGCAAACGCCCAAGTTCCAAAAGCTGACGTCGGTGTGTTCGACTCTGTACTTGCCGTTACCGATCCAAAGAATCATATGGCCTATCAAGACGTTGAGCACATCGCGTGAAGAGATCACGCGGAGACACTTACAGTGAATGCAATTGATTATGCCCCGCACGAACTCAAGGTCGGACAGATACGTCAATGGCTTGAACTCCACCTCGAAGATGCACCGCAGGATGCGCTCCCCGTAGTGCTCAGCGTCGATGAGCGACTGTGTTGGGTCACTGACTAGACGGAGATGGCCTCGGATGGTGTTTGTAGATAGATGCGAGAAGTCCTTGAATGCAATCACGTCTGTCATCGCTCCCAGCGCAGATTTGTCTACCTCCTCGACGATTTCGCGAGCTATCCATATCGTCTCGGCCTCATTGTGACGTGTCGTCTGGGGGTAGGACCATTTCGCAACATAAGACGTTATAGGCATGTCCGGGTCCTGCGCTTCAAGCACCATTGTTCGACGCCCTTTCAGGACAGGCGAGGGCTTGTAGAGGACGCGCGTTGGATTCACCACCATGGTTTTGGGCACGCCCTTCCTGTCCGTTACAACCACTTCGAAAGTCTTGGCTCCCGGTGCAGCGGGCATCAATCTTGTGTGACCAGCCGGTCCCGGGCTCTCATCTCGCGATTCGGGCAGACCCCGAACCACGTCGAGTTTCGCCTCAGAATTCGTCCCCTGCGGGAACCCCCACTGCGGGAGATTGAAGCGCTGGAGCAACATCAAGATGAACACGAAGTCTGCGGTGTGTGCGAGTATGTTGAAGCCCTGCGCTTGAATCGCCCCCGCACTGTCGAAATACCATAACCACGTCCAATCGTCTGTATGTGTTGTGGTCAGCACGAACAAAACAGCAGCGAACGAACACAAACCTTGGGTCAGCATGCCCAGTCCGTGATCCCTGATCAGCCCCTCTACAGAAAGCATTTCGGAAGCATAGATGGCCATCTGCACCATCGGAGCCGGGCGCTTTGGATCGTTCTCTTTCGCTTTCTTGTTGTCACGCTTGCCGGTTGAGCTCGGCCCCCTTCGTCTGGTGCTCGTGATGCTCAACTTCCGCCGTTTCGAACTACTCGCAACAGCTGGATGCGAAGCTTTGCGCTTCGAACCGGTCGGTACCTTCGCGTCTGCAGAGCACGGACATTCAGATTCGTATGAACGTCGAGTTCGAACAAACACGGCATCTTGAACAGACGAGACGGTCTTGGATGAGACCAGCGCCGGAACCACGAGCGCCATGTCAGTGACGAAGTTGGATGGATCCGCGTATGGGACGACCTTGCCCTCAGACGGACTATACAGTCGAATGTCCTTCACCTGTGCCGGTTCGAATTTGGTCTTCTTCAGCTCGTCCGCCATCAGCACTTGGCTCCAGTCCAGTCCAAGTGAAAGGTTGTCGCTGTCATCGGTGAACGAGGCCGAGGCCCATTCTCGCGCGACTTCCCAGCTTGATGCTTGGTTTCCCCCCCGCGAAATGCCACGCCAGCTGATGTACACTAGGTCCGGCTTGCGATGCGTGATCTGTTCGTCATGGTTGCCGAGGATTACGTTCGGATCGTTGCAGACACATATGATGTCCAGGTCCGACGGTTGGCCTAACTCCCGCAGCCCTGTGCGACATTGCGCGAGAATCTCGTTCGTCAGCTTGATGTACGGTATGTACATCGCGCTTTCAAATGCGCCAAAGCTCAACTTATCCTTGCTGTGGTGTGGATTAGATCACGTGTATGTATACGACTTCTACTCGTTACTCACAGGTCGTCCAACCGTTCGAGTATTTCACGACTCGTACTTATCTCCTCGGCCTCCTTCATACATCTTGCAAGCTTTCCGTCGAGGTCCTGCTCGCCAGGCAAGATCGATTTGAGTAAGAACGTCTGCATGCTCTTCAGGGTGCACTGTTGGTGCGATTTGAGGTCATGTTCGATGCCGGGGGCCACGTCTTGCAACCTGGAATGCAGCGTTCACCAAGTCAGTCCGGGCATATGTGCTGCGCGACTTGTGCCCTACCTCAACCCCGTAGTGCTTGCGCCTTGAGACGAAGCGAAGCTCGCAGACGCCCTGCTGTTGAACGGCGCCGGCCCATGGAAAGTTATTGGATGAGCATTCCTGGGAGTTGCGGTCGGCGACATTGATGAGCCCGCTTTCGCATTCGTGAAGTTGGACATGGTTATCTGGGTACAAGGTATGTACAAAATCCAGCCACGCACCGAGCTGTAAGCCACCGTGGCGGAGTAGCCACAGTCAAGCCACAGTAGCGACAATCATGGCTATATCGGGACACGATCTCGGCCAACTTAGATTATCATCATATAGACCATGACGGACCACCACATCCACGGATCAGTACGCCTCAACTCACCATGCGGTATAGATCAATGCTTGCTGGTAGTATTGGGTCTGATATGTACGTTCTCGCTGCTGCGTTCAGACGACCGTTCTTCTCGCCGTCTCGACAGTTCAAGCGCGCGTAAGTTCGCCTGCCAGACCCCGGTGGCGCCTGCCGTTCGACATTCGTCAGATTACCAGACCGGCGTGTCGCTCAGGAGTCTGCACCGCTTCTGTAGAGACCTACGTACATAGGTCAATCTCAAGAACCGATCGACAACAGTGAAAACGACCCACTCAGAACCTTGACTGCGACTAGGGACTTAGTAGGCGCTCGATATCCTTCCTGCATGCCTGCTGATTGAGATCTCACTCGCCCCGGTGAACACAATGCATATGAGTCTTTCCGAGAAGGCCTAAGTGTAATAAAGTGCCCAGAGACCTCCCGG